ATGATGCATTTGGCAAAAGAGAGCGTCGTTCGGCTACTTCAAGGAGACTGCGATTGTGTCTTCCATCGCCTTTTTCTTACAAATGGCATGTGCCATGTAGACGTCCCTCATGATGCCGCAAATAGTACAATTCGGCATAACTTTGGACACCAGTTTCTCGCGCTGTAGACCGCGCACGATGGTCCAACTTGGTGCTACGTGCTGCAAAAAGCGTACTTTACAACTGTACCAACTTTGAGCCATTTTGTATTTTTGACCGAGTTCGGCCATCGGAGACGGCCAACTCCTCGCAATCAGGAACCTCGACAAGTTGCGTGCTGTTAGCCACAATACCCGGATATTTCGTTTGGGTCACGATGTTGCGGCCGCCGAGCTCTTGTCCATAGTGAGTGGCGCGCCATCTCGAAGCATTCTAAGCATCACCAGGCCGCGCATTAGATACCATTGCGTTTGAAAATGAACTCGCCAAGATATGGCACATTTGTAGAGGGCGCTTCGGAGAGCTCGAAATGCAAGGTTGCGTCGACGAGCGAGGCGTACCGCGGTACCGAGACGCGATCCAATATGCACTCCAAACTAAGATCGCATAGTGCCATCTGAGAGGTACGACGCGCATCTAACTAAGATCCTAGAGCCATCTTCGAGGCACCACTCCACGATGCGGACGCCACTTGTCGACCACATCGCGTTTGAAATGGAATCGCTCAAAGTTGGCACAATGATAGAAGACACTTTGGGGAGTAGAGCAGGCCACGAGACGCTGCCGCTGCAGTCGTACAGCGCGCGCAATCCTCGACAACAGATACAAAGCGCTCTTAAAACGTTAAAGAGCAAATGGCCACATCGGTACGTCTTTTACACTTGTAGCGACGATCGATCGTCCTTCCACTGGATCGAGAATGCGACTCACGGCACCTTTCGTGCAAACACTACGTCCAGGAGCCATCTATGGAGCCATCATATCCTGTGGAGCGATTGGGACGAGAGGCTTTGAGCTCACAGTGCTCGGATTGCATGGACTTTACTTCCGCACTCTCTCGCGGTGATTTACTGTCGTATAATATCACTCGTGTAAACCGCGTGCCAGGCTATAATGCGTCCTTGTATACCAGAGATGAGATATTCACAAGTTTACTCGAATTCTATGACGTGGCACTCGGAGAAGGCCCCATTTCCAAGCAAACGTTCAGTCGTGTAGAAACAAGTGTAAAAACGAGCACGACAAAGACGAAACGCAGTGCTTTTACAAGAGAATCGGTAAAACCTGGAGCGCTGTTCATTCTGCAATTTGCGATCGACGGCCTCGGTCATACGGCAGGGCGGTCGCTCCTGCCGACTGTGAACGGTGAAACTCGTGTGGGCGAGGACTCTCTTTCGTCGCACATACCTTCGATTCAGAGCATTGAATCACCAGGCTAGCGCTTGCAGCGACCACTGCGTTCTCATGCAGCGTGCGAATGCTTCTCGACACCGAGCCACACCAAGCATGGCG